AAATACGTTATTGCCATGGAATGTGTAATCGACCAGGGTTCTGTGGTGCTTATGATCGTGAACCTGTAAGAACCGTTAAAATAAAGAGGCAGTACAACTACAATAATACTAGTAGTGTGTTCGAGGTTTGTGTCTGTGTGTCTGCAACACGTGACTATTGTGGTAACATACGACACACATATGCGTCTAATACCGATCTAATATCTAAAAAAATGTGACTTCAACAATTATCGAAATTTTAGAACAAGAATTATTGGAGTTTTAGATAATTACACAGAATATAGGACTAGATTTGGATTTTCTCGAGTGAATTCTCCAACAAAAACTTATGACATAAGTTATCTGAGAATTATCTGACAATGAAAAAATGCAATATCCTTCCTTCATGCCTCCATATTTACCATCTTCATAAAATGTTGTCCAGTCCACCTTGATTTACGGGGCATAATGAAAGTCAAAAACATTTGTCCATAAAACGTTTACATTTTATTGTCCAATATGTAACATGACATACCAGTACCAACGCACGTGGTTTTATGTCGAAGAACGACTTTAGCGTACACGTAACTTTTGTTTGGTGAACACTTATGAAATAACGTCGTTCTTAGACGAAATGTTTCCAAGGTATTCATGAATATCATAAATGATATGATTTCTGTTAGTATTGTTCATAAATTTATATTTCATAATGGCATATCGCCGAAAATATTATTTATTTGTACATTTACATTTACATCTATTGAATCTACAAAGAGAGGATGTTTTTTCTCTGAATGTGTATTAACTCATCTAGCTGAAGTGTTTAATTTTCGGATCGGTCAAACCACTTTGTAGTTCCATGGTCAAACTGTTTGACACACATACTTGACTTCACAACACGCAACCACCCATGGTTTTATTGGGCTTACTTGCCATTATGTATGTTTGTCGGCAAGTCTACTTTGTGACAACCGTATCAAATGTTGGTTTGGACATCGACGGAACGTTTTTGTAAAAAAAAAAAAGTAATAGTGTTCGACAAGTTTAAAGTTTGACCCTAGCGTTTGCTCAATTACGTTTTAGTGACCAACTTTTCCACTAACAAAATCTCCACATGAAAAATAATCTCCTAATTAGGACTTAAAAATCAAATTTGTGGGGATTATTTTTTCATGATGTAAAATAGCCTGACGAGGTCGCGTGAGTTGCGTCCTCCGCGGTGCTCCAAACCCAACAGATCCAGTGAGGTCTGATGCCGTTCGGCCGGTGAGGGTCTACTCACACCTACATGTCAGGTTAGATGTAAAACTACAGTTATAGAATGATCAATACAGTAATTAGTAGCCGTAAATGAATATAAATAAACCGTATTCAAAATCATGAATTCAATAGTAAATGAATAAATTATCAGACTTGATAAAGTTGGTTCATGGAGGTATAAACAGACCCATGGTTCACACACAGTCGCTCAACAAGGGACTGTGATTAAAAGTGCTAAAAAGAAACAAGTCCTTGATTTTATTTGTGTGATCATGTCTTGAAATAAGACAGTATGCCATCATCACCACCTAGGCAATGTCTACTGTCACAGTGTCATTATTTCCTGTGCCGTGCCATTATTTCCTGTGCCGTGCCATTATTACCTGTGCCGTGCCATTATTTCCTGTGCCGTGCCATTATTTCCTGTGCCGTGCCATTATTTCCTGTGCCGTGCCATTATTACCTGTGCCGTGCCATTATTTCCTGTGCCGTGCCATTATTTCCTGTGCCGTGCCATTATTTCCTGTGCCGTGCCATTATTTCCTGTGCCGTGCCATTATTTCCTGTGCCGTGCCATTATTTCCTGTGCCGTGCCATTATTACCTGTGCCATTTTTATCGCGCATCTTGGTGGACAACTCAAAGAAATATTGTGTGCTATATTGTCAATATTTTGTTTCAATACATTATTTGAATTTTAGTGTGTTTGATAATTTAATGGCCATTTTTGCTAGTCAGTGTATATGGTAATGTTGAGCAACGAAGAGTTTTCCATTCCATTGAGAAGATGGCTATTTCATGAATGCAATCCTTCTCCAATGAGGTAATGGCTATTCCATTGGGGGAAATGCTGTTCCAAGGAGGCATCGGCCTACAAGGCTGTAGATCCACGATGAAAGTGCTGTTACACACTATTTTTAAATCCTTCACCGTGTTCTTAAAATCTAGAAAAAAATATACCGGCGTAAAAGGATAGCAACAGATGTGAACATGGTACCTGATAAATAAACCAACATCTGATTGTTATCGCACAGTAGAAGTGCCGACCAAGAGTAGCAATCAAGTTAAAAACTAATAAAACAGTAGGTGACATTTTGTTTTTCAGTCAGCATACGCACGTAAAACAGTTTGACGTAATATCAACAGTTAAACAATTCAAACCAGATACACGAATCGAAAAACAAAAGTTAAATTTTGATGTAATTCCATGAATAATGGCAGACTCCATCAGTTGTCCATCTCCAAGACACGTGTATGGTGATCGGGGATGCTATTCCTATCAATAAAGCGAATTACTACCAATTTATAATTTACATTTTCTCCCCGAACTCGTGTTTTACTGGTCGTGATTGGTTAATTATTCAGTAACCAGTGTCGCGGTAGAGAACTACGAAAATAGTAAATAAAAAAAGTGACAAGTGAAACGACTAAGCATGGCCCGGTAGTTTCATTCGCAGAAATAACTAGTATTCGACAGATCATGGTAACTAACCTAACATACAGATCAGCCGCGGCGTCAACTCACTGGGCGTCTCTTATCCCTCAGTGTATTTGTTTTGCACTGTTTCTCACACTGGGAAAATAGACTATGGTGTATGGATATTAGAAATATTACTCTTATACCGTAATCCCGGGACCGTAATGATGTGTTGTCATTTCGTATGTAAGGATGGTGCCGTTAAATGTAAACGTTTGTCCAATGACTTTTATTGTACCACGTAAATCAAAGTAACGTCACTTTTTATGAACATAAGAGGACACTGGTGCTTTGTGGCAGTTATATACGTACAGTCAAATATCAACATACAGAACTCTATGCGGTGGTAATAAATCCATTGACGTTTCGTAGAAGTCATTTTATATGGACCGGTTGACACTCAGAATGCATATTGCAGGTCTTGCTGTAGAAGTGTCAAAAAATAAATTTGCAAACAATTTCGCAAAATTAGCTTATTTCAGCAATTAATTGTCTCCCACCCAATGTGCCAATATGGCGCAATATAATCACATTGATTGGAGACTCCAATCCGCTCCAATCATTGAGATTAGCAAACCGCATACGTCATATCATGGAGGTAAAATGGTCATATCCTATT